TGAATTCAAATTCAACTATTTTTTAAAATACCTGAGGAGCTAAAAATAATCCTTAATAACATCTAAGGTCACTGGGTCAAGATTTCGTAAATGAAATTTAGATACAAGGCTTGGAGAACGGAGCAACTAGGGTCATGGAAAGGGCCCTAGATGAGAAGGAAAGAAGACCTATACACTGTCACTGCTCTGAAGGTATGCTACTCAACCACAATGGGCCATATTTCCCAATCTGTATAATGAGAAAGTGTGAGATGATGGCCTCTAACTTCTTTTCTAAGCTATAATCTATGATTAAAAATGAAGAAAAGGGTACATTAGCTACTTTCTTAGAAAAATAAAAACGTATTACTGAAGAAGAAAAAAGATTTGATACTTGATTTTAAATGGTATTATATACGTATTAACTAAACATACATTAACATATATTAACTAAAATGAAAACTTAAACATATTAGATATAACTAAATAAAAAACTATATTCACTTCACTTAATTCTTCGTCGAGGTTTTCATGAAGTGAATGATTAATATAAAATATTAATCCCCTCTCATATTTCTGTGATCCATCCTCTACTACCCAATCCACTCGGGCCAAAACTTCAGCCATAGACAAACCAGACATCTTATAGTACGGCAAAGCAAGATGGGAATGCTGGGTGTCAAGCCTAATAGAAAGGAAATAAAAAGAATTTTAATTTGTCATCTTTCAGCCTAGATATCTAACATCTTGAAAATACAACAGATCATACTTCCTAGAGGACATAAATTGCAAAAATATTTTTCAACCATCACTAGTAGTTGAAACAAGCCCCTAAGTTTTATTCCACAAAGTCATTATAGTTCTTTTTGCCTGCTCAAAATCATTAAATAAAAACAAAAATTCATTAAGTGAATTTTAGTATTCTGATAAGGCTCTAAAATAATGTTCACGTGTATAGATTTAAAAAATCTTTTATTATTTAATAATCATTAACATGAATCAAGTAAATGCTTAAAACAATATTATGTTAAAAGATTGATATTTATTCTCATAAATAAAATTGACTATTCTTCCTCATGTCCTTTCCTGGCATCATAAAAACATTTACTGGTAAGATTAAAATCATAGACTATCCAACTGGTAACTCTTCTTTAAGCTAATAGATAATAAACTAGTAATGTAGTTGCCTCAAGGGATTTTAAACTGGTCATCTGCACCTCAATGCTTGAAAAGAAGTATTAAATTCCTAAATTCAGTGGTGGTAGGAAATTCAGGAATTTGAGACTTACTGCTTATTTATTAAATTGTGACTCCCTGAAAGCAGGGAATGGACTAGGTTCATCTTTGTATTTATAAGCCTTACAGAGTACGTGGCAAACAGTATGTGCTAAATATTTGCTTATGGTATAAATGAATAAATCACTCATCTCCTCTCATGCATTCTCTATTTAGAGATGGGTAATAAAATAAAAAAATAACAATGAAAGCTAATAAATAAGTACACGCATGTTTGGGTGCCACCCACCTGCTATAACAGTCTCCAAGGTACCCACAGCTTTCTTTAAATGCTTCTAAAAGCTCTGCCTTCTCTCCAGGGTCAAGCTGATGATCATCCATAAGGGCAGCTCTCACTAACAGATGAGCCTCACTGAGAAGGTGGATGCAGCTCTGGGTTTTAACAGTCCTGTAGGTATTACTATAATCTACCTACAACAAA